GTCACTGCGCATGCGCATTGGGGCATATGGCCAAAACGACTGGAAATTTATCAATCGCACCACTTGAGCAAACTATATCCCAAATTTCGTCTTTTTTTATCTGTAAACTTGCTCTCGGGTCTCTAGAGGACGAACATGGTCGGTTCATGGCCACACGACTGAGGTATACGCGCGCGGCATTGTAAACAGACCGGCGCGGGTCACGGACGGGGACAGACATTCGGTAAACACTGACCGGTCAGCAGCCGACAGTCCTGGAACGGCTGCCGAAGAGACACGCGGTCAGACACGGCGTGCGTGCCGGCTCACCCGGCTGGCAGGGGGAGAGTATAGGCATGGATGAAGTATACCTGGATAGGACACTCCCTATTCCCCAACACTAGCGCCGGCGACCAAGCGGCCGCCCTGGTGGCGGAGCTCCGAAACATCGGCGGCGAGTGCGCCGGCGGCCGCCGCACCGGCTTGCGTGCTAAAAACGCGGTATTGGAGGCCGAAATTAGCGAACTTTAAGCTCATAAGACACAATTTCAGAGACTTCACACATATTTTAAGTTCTTTCTTATAATTATTATGGCTCCATTTAGTCACTATCACATACGGAATCATTACCTGATGCCCATAAACTGAGCCGGTATTCTTGACTTGCCGATGCAATTTATCATCAAATATCATCGTTCCTCGGCAGTCAAACAAGTTTCTATTGATGATTTAATACAAATATCAACTTATTTTCACGTTATCACATAAAACTTCACTTTATTCTAACATTGGCTCTTCGACTGTAATCACGAACCCTCACTTGTCAGCAGAATTTAAGCAACTTCTTAAATCAAAACTGGGAAAATAATATTTTCATGACATTCCTCAATTCCTGTTCTACCAGGTTCACAAAAATTTTCATCAAAATCGGCTACAGGTAAGTAATAAACGACAAAAGTATACAAAAAGACACGCTCCGCCCATAGCCCGTAATGCTAAAATAGCGCCAGCGCCCTCGCCGTCGGGAAATCCGCCGCCGCCGCCGGGTGGTCGGAAAATCGGCGGAGTGTCCCATCCAGGAATACCTAATCCATGGTATAGGCATGGATGAAGTATACCTGGATAGGACACTCCCTATTCCCAAACACTAGCGCCGGCGACCAAGCGGCCGCCCTGGTGGCGGAGCTCCGAAACATCGGCGGCGAGTGCGCCGGCGGCCGCCGCACCGGCTTGCGTGCTAAAAACGCGGTAATGGAGGGCGAAATTAGCGAACTTCAGCTCATAAGACACGATTTCAGAGACTTCACACATATTTTAAGTTCTTTCTTATAATTATTATGGCTCCATTTAGTCACTATCACATACGGAATCATTACCTGATGCCCATAAACTGAGCCGATATTCTTGACTTGCCGATGCAATTTATCATCAAATATCATCGTTCCTCGGCAGTCAAACAAGTTCCTATTATACAAATATCAACTTATTTTCATGTTATCGCATAAAACTTCACTTTATTCTAACATTGGCTCTTCGGCTGTAATCACGAACCCTCACTTGTCAGCAGAATTTAAGCAGCTTCTTAAATCAAAACTGGGAAAATAATATTTTCATGACATTCCTCAATTCGTGTTCTACCAGGTTCACAAAAATTTTCATCAAAATCGGTTACAGGTAAGTAATAAACGACAAAAGTATACAAAAAGACACGCTCCGCCCATAGCCCGCAATGCTAAAATGGCGATAGCGCCCTCGCCGTCGGGAAATCCGCCGCCGCCGCCGGGTGGTCGGAAAATCGGCGGAGTGTCCGATCCAGGAATACCTAATCCATGGTATAGGGCCGGGCGAGGTGCTACAGTGGCCACCGCGGCGCGGTGTCGGTGTGTGAAAAAGCAAAGTAGCTCGTAGGAAAGGAGGACGAAACTCTGGGTGTAAACTGTATATAATATCAGCCTGGACGGAACATAAAGCTACCGAGCGTATCAAACGTGTAAAGAATATCACAGATTAATAAACAGCCGTGTTATGACGACCAGGAGCATTACACCCGTTGGCCGTTCCAATGCGATGCTGCGATGGTAAATACATGTAAAGCAAAAAAGCACATAAATAACGTTTTATACTTTAACCACTTTACCCACTTTAGCCACTTGGCCTTATATCACCCTACGATAGATACCAAGTTGAAAAAAGAAACAGAAAAGATCATTTAATGATCACAGCCAGCCCAAAGTGAGTTAAGGCCGCCCCACACTGGACCTCGCATGCGGGTTGCGAGTTTGCGGGTTTTGAGTTTGCAGGCATGATACTGATTTATAGTGTGATTAGACCGTTCCCTCATGGTAACTTCATGATTGCAGTGAAGCCGGTACACCTTCAGAAAATTACATACGAGGTGTGGCTAAAAAGAAACCGGACTGTTCGTGCTGGCCATAAAGTAGGGGGCCCGAAGACTAGCGAGACACTTGACATTAATCTTTAACATATTGTGGTGATGTGTGCCAAACGGCATCTCGATATCGCTATTGTTCTCCCTTCCACAGCTCTTTGTTTTATCGATGTTCGGCGGCCTTGTCACCGCCAGGCTTCTACAATGAGCTTCGAAAAAAAGAAGGAACATCACGTTCCTTGCCAGACTCAACAGAGACGCTGAATCTGTTCAAGGTTTTAATGTTATGTTAGGTCATATGTCACATGCAAGTGTTTGAATGGCATACGAGGTTCAGCACTGGTCGTGAGGATGTCGGTGATGACCCCAAGGTCTGGAGGTCCACCAACGTTCGCGCGCATGTCGAAGCCGAGGGTGAAGACGACATTGATCGCCTTTTTCGATCATAGGGGATTCGTTCACCGCCAGTTCGTGCTGGAGGTGTACCACAGTCGACCAGCTCTTCTACAAGGAAGACCCGGGACGCCTCATTTCACGAGTCAGGCGCACCAAGTGGAATTTCTGGGAAGCCAAGAACTGGGTGCTCCATCACGACAACGCTCCCGCGCATCCTGCCATTAGCGTCAAGCAGTTCTTTCCCAAAAAGCAGGTCGCAGTGCTCAAGCACCCTCTTATTTGTCAGACCTCCCTTCCTGTGACTTTTGGCTGTTCCTTTAAATGAAAAAGGTCGTCAAGGGAACCCATTTTGAATCGGTCGACGACATCCACACCGGAGTGACCAACGTCAGCGTCATCAATAAAACAAAGAGCTGTGGAAAGGAGAATAATAGCGATATCGAGATACCGTTTGGCACACATCACTACAATATGATAAAGATTAATGTCAAGTGTCTCGCTAGTTTTCGGGCCCCCTACTTTATGGCCAGCACGAGCAGTCCGGTTTCTTTTTAGCCACACCTCGTATAGTCGCGATACCAGCGTAACGAACCAAAATTCGACTCCAACGAAAAACCCGCAAACCTCGCAGAACTCGCAGACCTCGCAGCGAGGAAAATCTAAGGTTGACTCAAAATCAACTTTTGGAGTGCGATGCAAGGTGGCTCGCAAGCTAAGAACATACAGACTCGCTTGTTAGATAGTAGTGTGGGTCACTCAGCAATCAGCATAGATTGTATTATTTAATTTTGAAGAAACTCGAAAAACCGAAAACCCGCAACCCGCATGCGAGTTCCAGTGTGGGGCGGCCTTTAGGCTAGGTTAAATTCTCAGTAACCTGCGACTGAAAGGCACGTCGGATATCTCAATTATGGGACAGGCCAAGGAGCGAAACGGAACGGAACTCAGAAATGAGCATCCTTGTGAGTTGTGAGCCAAAAAGGACCGCTTTCTTAGACATTCTTGGATAAATTTCATAAGCTTTTTATGTGCGACAAAACGTTTACGATACAGCTCTCCGTGGCATGCTCAATAAGACGGATCCAGCCATTTGCTATTGGAATGAAGAGCCAAGCATTCGCTCAGCTAGATTCAGGAGTATCGACCACTACGTGGCTGGCTATGAATTTCGAATGAATGGAAAAATCATTCGCTGCCAAAGTACGGAGCTAATCACGCATTCTCATTTGGGATTCAAAAGTAATAGTGGCATAATGTATAGCAAAGTAATTATATCAATAAAACGTACAACTTAAAAACGACACCAGTTTTGAGAAAATTATCCAGCATGATGAGGCGGCAGCCCAGCGGCCATCGCTCCCTTAGTTCACTATCAGTCTTCACACAAATACACATGCATTCTCGGCATATAAACACCGTTCGGGCGCCGTGCTGGTCAGAGCCGGCGGGGGCCCGGCCTCGGGGTCAGGTCATTCCCCCTGGCCCGACCGGCGGCGACCAATCAGCGCCCGAGGCGCGGGGGCCTGGCAGTCGGTTCTATAAACACTGCGGCCAGCGCGGCCGGCCCGGGTTGGTCGGCAGAGGAGACACACCCGCTCCTGCAGACAAACCAAGGACCCTGCGACGGCACCAGAGGGGGCTTGGCATAATTGATGGAGAGCAATACAGAGAGAAGATACACATTAAAACTCACATTCATACATAATGCCAATGATGACAAAAAAAAATTGCAAAGCAAATGGCAAATTCTGGAGAAATATGGGCGGATTACTGGGAGCGTCAAATAGGTATGCACATAACTTTTAAATTCAACTTCTGTCTTCCTATATAAAACAAGTGAATTTCTCTTCTTAGGCAGTTTTATGAAAGCAAAGCAACAAACATAAAACAAGGGACTGGGATCGCAATGCAAACAGGCCTTCCATTCGTTTCCATTCATTGCAAAAATGCAACGGATGCAAGTCACCAAGGCCACCTTCATTATTCATTATCGGCTCAATTCATTGTCGTATTCAATTTCATTAAATTTCCATTCAATTAATTAAATTCCCTTCATCCATTAAATCCCTTCAATTCAATCAACCAACGCAATGAATCAGAGGTAGCGAGAAAGATTTTGCAAAAGATCACGCATAGCTGAAACATCTCGCCCGGCATAACATCTCGTGCCACCATACTCGCATTGCAATCCAGCGATGCGTCTCAGGGGAGCAGCCCGACACGGCGTTCACCTCACCTGTCCATAACCTCCTCCTTGATCGTCACGTGCGGCTGCTGAATATCGGTAGCTGAGTAAAAACGGTCCAGCACACCCGTCATCCAATCCATGGCGACAGCGCTGACAACGGAAGACGGAGCGATGACGGATCACCCCAGATGACGGATGACAGTCAGATGAACTGATTCAACTGCTGACGATCGCTGGCTGAGAGTGGCGACAACAAATGAAGGTCGAAACTGAGATGACCGCACCCGGCGACCAAGCCACGTCTCCAACGTCACGTCTCTAACGTCAACGTCCGGAGTCACTGATGACGTACGATGACGTGCGCTGACGTGTGATGACGTCCACTGCCGTCTGTCCGCTGACGTCGCTGTGGGTCCGATGACGGCGCGGGCGGGGCACGCGCGGCGGCACCACGAGCCTCGGAGCGACTGAGAAGGAGCGCGGCGCGCAGGTGGCTCAGCCGGCTATCGCGCGCGCGACAGGTCTGCTCTCTCACAGGGCGGCTCTCACAGCGGGCTCACACTCTCACACTGCGACTGGCCGCCGAATAGGACACTACTGCCGCTGACCGCTGACAGCCGACACTGGCCCAGATTGCAGCCGCGACAGGTCACTGAGCGCGGTCACTGAACACAGGTCACTGAGGACAGGTCACTGAGGACAGGTCACTCCTCTTGCTGAGCACTCTGATCAAATACTACCCCATTCACCGTCTCCGATCACGGGTTCACCCCAGTCAGCGTCAGAGTACTCCACGGACGCGCCAGTATGCACCGTCAGCGCAGATCGGACAGACACGGACTGAAATACGGCGCACAACGAGGCGACGTTGGACGCGGGCGGCACTGCGTCACGGCCGTCCGACTGACTGGATCTGGACAGTTTACTACGGTTCGAGACGACAAAACGCGCCGGGGGTGTGTCTGAGAACCTCCCGGCCCCTCCGGCCGCCACAACCTCCGGCGCAAACACTACGAGCTGAGCGGGACTGAGCAGCGGCCGGCCGGCTGGCCTCAGTCGCGCGACGGAGTAACTCCAGAACGTCCCGGCCCGATAGTCAGCGCAGGCCACGAGTCTTCAGTCGGGAACTAAATCCAGGGTTCTGAGTGACCCCCAGGTCTGTTCTCCCTGACAGTCTGCTGCTTAACCTCCAAGAGCTGCTTCAAGGCACTGTTTTAGCACGCAGAGAGACCGGGATTTCAGAGCAGTCAAGTCGTCAGCTCAGGTCGTACCGCACCGGTCTTGTTTCCGCGCTCATAAAGCCACAGAGCAGCAGGCCAGCAATCGCAGTCCACAGGCCACAGCATACGATCGGATCCTTACGACCAACGATCTAACCACTTGAGCTAATCACACTGATCTCACAGCCACGGCAGTGACAGAACAAGTTCCATTCCACCAACCACCGACGGTACCGTGCCCTTCTCGCCTCAGCGCACCAAACCCTACACTTCTGGCGGCAACGATCCCACACTTCTACCGGCAACGACAGACAATCGGCAACAGAAGACCCGTCGGGCCGCACACTGCGGTGAGTCAGCCCGAGCAGCGAGCGGCGGTCGCTTCCTGCTTCCTCTGTGGACCATCCCTGGTGGGTCAGCTGACGAGCGCGTCCGCACAAAGAGGGGCACACGCTGATGTCATCTCTGGGGCACTCCTGAGTCACCGCGTTTCACGGTTAGTTACGAACGAGATACATGGAATCACTATTGTGGAGATGAGCATGTGCGTTGTAAGCCGTTTACTACGTCGAGAAATGATCTGTGGGTATAATGAAAGAAAGCGCGGTTTTAAGGCTCATGATTATATATATAAATGCGACGAAAACCCTAAGCCTCATGCTAATAATTGTATTGAAAATAGGGCCAAGAAAATGAGACAACTGTTTCGTGCATAGCACATCGTCAGGTCTGAAGTAAACAATCATTTCATAGTTTTTTAAACGTCTATCAAATCAAATGTTTGCTGTGTCAGGATGTCACCTACATTGGTGAAACAAAGCGACAAGTCCGGCTAAGGTTCAACGAGCATCTCCGTGATGCAAAAAACAAAACAAAAGACAGCCCTTTCGGTGACCACATCCGGACCCATCACGCTGACGCCATCATCACAACATCCTCCCTGAACATAAGCATACTACGACGCTGCAAAGACGTAGCAAACCTCAAAATTACTGAATCACAATGCATTAGAGATCTGAAACCCAAACTGAACACTCAGACATCCTCCTGGCAACTTCTCACCCCACCTTCTTATGGCTCCCAGTGAACACCCACTCACTCACTCACTCACCCACTGACTGACTCACTCAGTCACTCACTCACTCACTCACTCACTCACTCACTCACTCACTCACTCACTCACTCACTCACTCACTCACTCACTCACTAATTCTATCATCCACTCATTCAACCACTCACTCGCTCACTCAATCACTCACTCACTCAATCACTCGCACACATGCTGCACAGTGCACACACACACACACACACACACACACACACACACACACACACACACACACACACATACTGCACAATGCACACACACACATAGAATTTTCTAAGCAATTTGCACACATATATAGGCTCTTTCATTCTACCATCATTTCATTTATTTGTTCACATACCCGATTCCTACCATTCAAATAGACTGGGATCATTCATGTCATCTACTGTCATTTGTTATAATCACTGCGAACGACTGTGTTTTTACTTGTGAATCGAAGTGCTGTATATATGTTAATATTCACAACTCACTGTATGTACCATTCCGCAACTAGGAGGAAGATGTATTTATTCACTGAGCAGGCTTTGTGTGACGTTTAAAAAACTATGAAATGATTGTTTACTTCAGACCTGACGATGTGCTATGCACGAAACAGTTGTCTCATTTTCTTGGCCCTATTTTCAATACAATTATTAGCATGAGGCTTAGGGTTTTCGTCGCATTTATATATCTGTGGGTATAGTGTGAAACACAAATATCGATACAATATCCCTCGAGAGTTGGTCGATATTGACCGCTAAAAAGTCCGTAAAAAGGTTTTTCCGTCACTTCAGGACATTTTTGTAAGTTCAATAACGAAAATGTTTAAGAAAAATGTGCCTACAAAAAACGTACAGAACAAGGATCAAATAGCCGGGTTCCATGGCATACGTAAATGGCTACATTATTTAATGAAGAAATGAATTGCTTGCGATTTTCTTACTAATTCAACGGAAAACGTTTTAAATCAAGCCGAAACAGCGAAACTAAACGTGGACAATTACAGGCACGCAGAGTTTCTCCAAAACTGTCTCGATCTCAGGAACTGAGCCGGAGAACCGATGGAATGCTGGGCTGAATGATGGTGAGAGCCCGGTCCCAGCCGCTTCGGCCCTAGCTGTTCGCCTCTATAGGTAACAGATATGTAGGCATATGATCAGCAGTGGAAAAAGCCGTCATGATATATCAACGTCGAAAACCAAAACGACTCGTTCACCACCCAACACGATCCAAGACAACATAGCGTCTCGTCGCATCGTACGCTATAACCCATTCCGAGTAACTGCTCGTAAAAACCGTATCAAGTCGCGATTTTCCATAATCAAAACGACAGTCTCGAAAAAAGGACCATTACCCTAAAGTCTTTATCCGCTAGCTGCTACTTGTGTCGAGTATCGCCCATAAGCCAAGGATCGCTTGCTCTGTCGGCCGGCGGACGGCGCCGCCCCTATCTATCGGTGGTATCGAGACGGGCCTCGTGGTGCTCCCGTGGACCGATCGGACCCGGCAGCGACGACCGACGCGCTCAGTGACAGCCTCTGTCGCCGATAGAGGCTCAGAAGACACACTGCACGTGCTCGGCAGGAACGGACACCGGGGTGAGCGGCCTAGGGGTGATGGGGAGGGCCGAGGGGTGTAATCCTCATGAGCAGCATACGCACGGGGGTAACGCACGGCGCTGGAAGAATGGAGATAATGACGGTTTGCATAAAACTTGCGTGCAAAGAGAATACGGTGTGTTTCGTGCACAGTAAGTGGTCAAGCTTGCAAGGGGTGGAGTCAAACCGGCAACTGAAATTCAAGAATATTAGGTTAGCTATTAGCTAGCGATCAGCTATTCGCTATTAACAGCAAACTCATTAGGTAGATCACCTATTGTGCTAATGCCTCGCGGACCTATTCAGTATCCATTCAAACCGCCCATCTAGCCGTATTATTGACCACGATAAGTGAAACATTGAAATACCACGAACCAATAACCATTGGTTATGGTGACAGCCGGACACTTTGGTATGTTCAGGACGTCTTCAGGTCCTCAGGTTCGCTGGTAACGAGATCATCAACATTCCATTTCGCCGGTGTGACTGAAAAAGCGCGGCAAGACAAGGGGGACAAGGGAGGTTACAGAATTACTACTCCCACTCATCCGTAGCATGCATTTTCTTTTAATGAAACAAATAAGTAATAACTGTCTTCGGAAAAAGTGCACCGGTGAAAAATGGATTGCAATTAAGTTCACGCAAATACCACCAGTACCCAGCGGTCTTCAACCAGCGCTGATCCACTCCCACTCACCCGAACTGCATCTCCAGCAGAGCGAGGGAAGACATGGCGGCGGCACATTCGACTTCTCTCGATCACCGTCTCACGCGACACTGGCGTGGCCCAATTAGACGAGACAACGCGACGCGCGCGGGTCACTTTCAGAACCAGTGTCCGGTCCCCAGTGTGGGGCAGGGCCAGGGACGGACCGGAGAAAGGACACTCGCTCCCCCACGGTCCTCGTTACGGCGCGTTGACAGCCCCACCTCGAGTCTTTGTGTCGGCCCGCCCAGCCCGGCGAGCGCCGCCGGGTATGTCCTACAGCGGCTGGGCAAGGCGGACCAGTGGTGCTCTCGGCACGCACCACACCGCTTAGCCGAGCCCGCTCTGCGCCCCGTTCCGGCTGAATTCCGTCCGTCACCCCGAGGCGAGGGTTCAGTGAAACATAGGCGCCCGTTTCGGTTCACCCAATGTGCCCTGTGCCTTTGGAGGCGAGCGGGGAGTGGTCGGATAATGATCACGTCTGGAAGCAGTTCAGACTGAGAACATGATTCTATCATAGTCTTGTTTACTGTGGAGGTAGCTACCGAGACCGGATCCGTGTGGAGTCGACTGAAATGCAGGTGGTGAACGATGAGCGATGAAGAACGAAACCAACAGACGCCTCCTTCCGCGAGACGCTCAGAATATTTGGTAATGGAGAATATACGTCAGCTGAAGAACCACACATCGGCACTTCAACACCCAGATCAAGGTTACGGTGAACAAAAATCGCCAATAAGAGATAGCAAAACGCTTAGGCTCTTGAACTTTGGCTTCGAATTGAAGTGAATGAAGGGCCGGATGAATGTTAGATGAAGCCGTCAATGCAGTTTGATGACTTTAAGTACCATGAGTCATGATCCATATTACATTGCATTGGAAACATGAGTGGAAGGGGTGAGGGTGGGGGGCGTAAATCGCCCCTAGTCCCGTTTTGATGTTTTCGGATCAAATCGCCGCCCTGGCGCGGGTTGACCTCAGGTAAGCGGGCTTGCCTCCAGAGAACAAGAACCGTAAAATGTCTCGCCAAGCATCGATTGCCTTCATGTAAATGCATGATAAACGCGCGGAAAATAGCGTGCGTCTTCCCCGTATCGAATCCACTACCACCGAGGCATGACATGGAAACCTCAACAAAAGGTCAAACGGAAAACAAAGCGGTGCAACCCTTGGTGCAACCAGTCCATTCTGACACGTTGAGCGAAAGTAATGTGCCAATGGACGCTCCACCCACATGTCATTATATGCCTACGTAAATATAGGTAACCAAACGCAGTGATACATCAGCCTTGGCTTAGCACGTGTTTGAGGAGTGACACCACTTCAGGTGTTTTGAAGGCGCTCCGACGTGATAAGCCGATAACTCTGAAAATCCCATCTGATGACTCGAATGCGCCACCGTGGCCTGGCGGCCACGTTGCTGTCCAATTTCGTGCCTAGATGGCGCTGCTCGCCGGCAGGGGTCAAAGGTCGACCCGTGGACAGAGACTGAAGGTCAAAAGATCGAGTGGTCCGTGGGGACACCGAACGGCTCATAGCACGCCGGGCCGAGTCACAACCGGTGGGCATTTTTGGCATGGGTATCTCAGCAAATCATGACAAATCATGGCATCTCGGACAAATCATCTCAGTAATATAATGTCAAATTTGACCTCTATGTAGGGAGCCATTGACCTCCAAGAGGTAATATAATGTCAACCCTTGCTGGCTCAACAGAATGATGCACCTCCCCCTCCCACAGCTTGTTTGTGAAGTTGGAAAGGCTTTGACTTTTGTTCTTCAGGCACGCAATTCGAAAATTTCTGTTTCCGACTCGATCCAGTCACCGAGTGTCAAATGTCAGGTCATATTCGACCGAAATCGGCATGATATCAATCTAGGTGAGGTTTCTTGCTTTCTAGCAATGTTTCTGTGTATCAAGCAAGATCATTGTGATCACAATATTTGATGGTATCCTGAGACTGAGCTATGTAAGGTTGCCTCAATGTCAAGATCACAAAAAGTCACACATGGCAAAGGCATGAATGAGAATTAGTATTGCATTACT